ATGTACCTCAGTTGCAGTTTGTCCCTGGCCCTGGTTAGTCATGCGGGTGGCGGCCACTCGATGTGTCCCTTTCACGTTGATGTTTCTCTCTCTCTCTTTCTCTCCCTCCCAGTCTATCTGAACAAAAAATGGAAAAATGTCCTTGGGTGAGTATAAAAAAAAAAGAAAAAAGAAACATCAATGAGAGAGGCCATCGATTGGCTGCTTCCTGCATGCCCCCCACTGGGGATCGGGCCTACAACCTAGTCCGGAATCAAACTGGTGACCTCTTGGTGCATGGGTCGATGCTCAATGACTGAGCCACACCAGCCGGGTGAGATAAATTTGTTGTTTCACTTATTTATGCATTCATGCTTGATTCTTTTTTTTTCTTTCTTTCCATTGGTTGATTCTTGTGTGTCCTGACCCACCCCACAGCTTTGGTGTATCAGGACAATGCTCTGGCCAGCTGAGAGCTCCCCGGCCAGGGCCGTCAAACAATATTTACTGAATGCCCTCCATTCACTGGTGAAAAGCACTGAACAAGGTAGGCAGTCTCTCACCTCAGAGTGCTGACATTGAATGGAGGAGGGAGAGACAAATAACAAATAATAATAGACTGGTAAATAAATACCAAATATAATGTCAGAAGGTGAAATTAATTTAAAAACTCAGGATAAGAGGATAGGGTCTGATGGGGGACGCGAAGAGTTTAGAGAAAATGTTCAGGACCTGCAGGGATGAAGTGTGAACTGAGACCTCAGTGATGAGCAGGAACAGCTGTGCCAAGACCTGAGCAGAGCATTTCAGAAAGGGGCTCACAGCTGCGAAGGCTCCAAAGTCAGACCGACATTGCTGTGCTCGAGGGACATGTAATGACCAGGGGAGGTTGGAAAAAGACAAAGTCCGAGGTGTGGCCTCAGAGACCCTGTGAAGAGTCTGGATTTTATTCCAAGGGCAACAGGAAACCACTGGAATGTTTAAGCAGGGGAATGAGGATGAGACTTAATATACATTTTTAAAGCATTACACATGACTCTGTCATTCTACTCCTATGTATCTAAGAGAAATGAAAGCATATGCCCAGCCAAAGACTTATATATGAATGTTCATGGCAACTTCATTCATAGTGGCCAATCCTGGAGAAATAACCTAAATATCCATCAACAGGACAATGGAGAAACAAATGGTGGTACATCCATACAAGGGAGTACTACTCATTCATGAAAAGGAGAAAATTCTTGAAACACACAACACTGATGGACCTTATGAACACACCAAGCCAAAAAAGCCATACCTCCTCATGCCCTGCAAAAAAAAAAAAAAAAGCCCTGGCCGGTTTGGCTCAGCGGTTGGAGCGTCGGCCTGCGGTACAGAGAGACCCGGGTTCGGTTCCCGCTAAGGGCACGTACCTCGGTTGTAGTTTGTCCCCGGCCCTGGTTGGTCGTGCGGGTGGCAGCCACTTGATGTGTCCCTTCACATCGATGTTTCTCCCTCTCTCTCTTCCTCTCCCTCCCTCCCGCTCTGTCTGAACAAAAAATGGAAAAATGTCCTCGGGTGAGGATAAAAAAAAAAAAAAAAGAAAAAAAAATACATGTATAATTCCATTTATATAAATGCAAACTAATCTATAGTGACAGAAAGCAAATCAGTGGTTACCTGGGCCAATGGATGGGGAGATCAACTCAAAGGGGCATGGAGGAGTGATGGAATGTTCTGGATCTTGATTAAAGTTGTAGTTATATGTGTGTATACATCTGTCAAATCTCATGGAACTAGTCTATTTGAATGGTGCATTTTACTGGGTATAAATTATACATCAATAAAGTTGATTTTTAAAAAGGATAACATTGCAGCCCTGGCCAGTTTGGCTCAGTGGTTAAAGCGTCAGCCTGCAGACCAGAGAGTCCCGGGTTCGGTTCCTGCTAAGGGCACATACCTCGGTTGCAGTTTGTCCCTGGCCCAAGTTGGGGTCGTGTGGGTGGCAATCAGTTGATGTGTCTCTCTCATGTCGATGTTTCTCTCTCTCTTCCTCCAGCTCCATCTGAAGATAAATGCAAAAATGTCCTTGGTGAGGATATAAATAAATAAATAAATAAATAAATAAATAAATAAATAAAAAAAAAAAATAACAGTGCTCCTTAGTTGATGAGATTGTTTTATCTCCCTGTAAAACTTTACCCATCCAGAATGGTCTATCATTGGCTGCCTTTAAAATCTTTTTTCTTCCTCTTTTCTTTAAATAATGGGGCTAAGTTATACCCAAAACTCGTTCTACAGACTATTTCCTCAGTACCTTGCAAAAACACCAAACAAATACCATTTCAAAAGAGGTGTATTTTTTTTCTTTTAAAATGTAAGTTTCTCAAGAGCAGGGACAATGTTTTCTTATACTGTATGTTCTATCGTGCCTAGTATACTGTGAATGATCAATAAATACGGATGATGGGAAAAAAAAAAAGGATAGCATTGGCTTCTGGTGGCAAATAGAGTCTGGGGGCCTAGTTTGGAGGTTAGTTCAGTAGTCCAGGTGGCTTGGCTGCCACTATAGAGATGACAGGAATGGTGAGCAGGACAGGCCGTGGAGGGTGAGAATAGGGAGGACTCAGAGATGACATCCAGGTGTGCACCTGGTCAACATGTGAGGGACCCTTAACTGGCCTGGGGGAGACTGAAGGGAGAGTAGCTTTGGAGGGATATCCAGCTCCCTTCACCCCCATTAGGGCTGGGTAATCTCTTGGGATCCCTTCTGACCCAACAATTCTTTATGCATAAGCTCTCCCTTACCCAGTAGGTATGGAATGTCAGTTATTGAAAAAAAATCCTCAGCATTCTCACCTCATGGACGAGAAAGCTGGGACTTCGAGGGTTCATTTATTTTCCTGGAGTCCTCTGACTGGTACCTGAGGATAGCAGGGTTCCAGCTCAGCTCTCATTTTCTGCTACATTCTTTCGTTTTTCCTGCTCCAGCTCAACTTCTTTGACTACACAATACTTTGGAGGACTGCACACATCAAGAAGTGTCGCAGAATCCAGTCATGATTTTTGCTGTAACTGAGAATCCACTGTATTATAACTTACTTAATGTTTTTCCATAAACAACCTTTTTTTTTTTTTTTTACTTAATCTCATCCTAAACTATATATTGGTTTATGTGCTGATTAAGTATTTTTCTAATATACATAAATACCAGCTATTAAAGTAAGAAATCTTTGTCTATATACCATTTACATGTCTCTCATTTCACTGGTGGCCCTTGTACCACATTTGGGGGAATTCTTCATGGGGTCACCCTAAAGTATTATATGTAAGTCAGTGTGCATGAAATGTCTAGTATATATTTATATGGATACAGTTGTTATGGACAGTGCTTTGTCAGCACCCAGCAAAAGGACCAACGACAGTGCACTTAACCTCTGATGTAGTTCTGCTTCTAGGAATTGATCTTCAGGAAACAACTAAGGATGTGCTCCAAGATTTAACTACAAGGATGTTCTTCTCAGCATTACTAATTATAGCGAAATCTTGGAAATAACTAAATTTAACAAGGAAGCTGGTAAACGCCGGTACAGTTATACAATTATTTTGCCCCCAAAAATGATGTTTTAGAAAAATATTGAATGCCCTGGTTTCAGCAGTGTGCACAAATATAAAAAGGCATATGTAAACATTTTATGTATATGGTATATTTATATGTGTGTGTATGTGTGTAAAGAAATGATCTAGAAGACTGTATAACTGAGCATTCAGTGTTTTGGATTATGGACAGTTTTAATTTTCATCTCTTAGTTCATTTATTTATTTATTTATTTTTCCTTTCTAAATATCTTCCTACAAGGAACAAGTATTGCTTTTGTAAAGAAAATTTCCTGCATGTACGCATAACCAATGGACCTGGACAACAAAGCCGGGGATGGGCCGGGGGGATGGGGAGGAAGGTGTCAATGGGGTAAAAAAGGAGAAACATCTGTAACAAAAATAAAATTAAAAAATAAAATAAAATCTGAAAAATTATTTATTAAAAAAAAAAGAGAAAATTTCCACATTTATATTCTAAGCTCTGGAATTTATTCTTCTAAATCCTTTATTTTAATATTTTTTTCTTTATTGATTTTCTTTTAGAGAGAGAGGAAGGGAGAGGGAGAAAGAGAGAGAAATATCTATGAGAGAGACATTAACTGGCCGCCTCCTGCATGCCCCCCACTGGGGATTTGGCCCACAACCTGGGCATTTGCCCTGACCGGGTATGGAACCGCTACCTTTTGGTGCATGGGTCCATGCTCTACCACTGAGCCACACTGGACTGTAGTTTTCCTTTTAATATCTACAGTGGAGTCCCTTCTGCCCCATGCAGAGTTTAGGAAGTCTCTGCTGGGGAGAGTGGACACGTGGAAGATGAGGGGATTTATAACTTCCAAAGTACTGAATCTGGCCCCAAAGGCTGGGCTGCGAGTTACACTGCCATAGGCTCACAGGGCCAGCTGAGGAGTTCCTCCAAAGGGTGCTGGCCTTGCTGGATACTGATTTAGTGTTCTCCTGGGAGGTGACGTACTGGGAGACAGGAGGACCAATCTGACTCTCCGCGGGACAGACATGTGATGAGTAAGTGACTGAGGTACGGACAGACACAGGTCAGACTGGGCTAGCAAGACAGGCGGATGGATCTGTCAGCCCGCTGGTCAGGCATGTGACTTTGAGATGGACAGAAAGACTGACAGAAGGGCCTGGAGGCCGGGGAGCCACCCACCTGCCCGCTGGGCCGCGAGGGGGCGCCGCCGCCCCGCCCAACGTCGCCCACCGTCCGGGCTGAGAGTGCGCTCGCGGGCAGCGGAGGGGGCGGGGCTGGCGTGCGCACGGGGTGGGACCAAGATGCTCGCGGGGGCGACCGTGGGCGGGGCGCGCGTGCTCGCGGGTCGGCCGGGGGCGGGGCGCGCGGCGGGCGCGGGCGCGCGCGGCGGCGGCGCGTTCCGTTCCGGGCCAAGGCTCGCGGCGGAAAAGTTGCGGGGCGGAGAGGAGCGGCCCCGGGACGGGCAGCGAGCGCGACGTCGAGCCGGTTCCCGGAGCCCACGGCCCCGCCATGGACGACCTCGGTGAGTGAGCAGGAGGCCGAGGGGGGAGGCAGCGAAGGGCGCGCGGCCCTGAGCCCGGCGGGCGCGAGCTAGCGGCGGGGGCCGCGGGATCCCACCCTTGGTGGCCGGGGTTCCCGCTCCGTCCCTGCTGGCTGGGGCTCCGCGGGGCTGGGATCTCGGGCCGGGCCTGAGTCCCGGACCAGGCGGGCCTCGTCGCTGTCCTTACAGCCGCCACCCCCAGCCTCGGGGACAACCCCTCCTCTGGACCCCGGACCTCGGGGACCCACCCCCATCTCCCAGTCCAGCCCCGGGGACCAGCGTGCACCTAAAGCACCCGCCCCGTCCACTTCAGGGGCAGAACCCTCGCTGCCTGGATCAGACCACCTCCCCAGCTGTGGGACCCTCACTTCACAGACTGCTCCCCCACCTCCACCTCACAAATCGACCACCCAATTCGTGGAGCAGCTAGTCCCTCAATTCCAGGACATGCTCTCACCCCTCCGAGGACCGCTCCCACTTCAGGGATACCCTCTGGGAGCCCACCCCTTTCATGTCACTAGCCAGATTCACAAGTTAGAGATGGGCCTCACCTCTACAAAGCCAAGCTCCCCATGTGCCTCACCAGCCCCCACTTCAGGTCTGGTCACCGTGTTTCATGGACTGGCCACTCCATTTCACTGACTGCCCTCTCTCCTCTGTGTACCAGCGGTCCCCTTGTGTCATAGACCAGCCTAATCTTAGAAGAGTAAGCGGGGGAGACAGGATTCTCACCCCACTCCCAGACGCTGGTGAAATGCCAGGGGAATAAGGAGGGAAGTGGGCCTCAAGGTATGGCCGTCTTTGAACTTGTCCTAGCTGGCAGAGTCCCTCCACCCCGCCCAGCATCAGACCTTGCTGGAAGCCACACAGGAAAGGAGGACAAGATGCCTGGAACAGAGTTGTACTGTTTTCATGTTATTGGAGCTCCCAAACTACTCTTTTCACTCCAGGCTTGATTTGCTGTTAGGGCAGGAGAAAGTGTCTCCTGGAACCAGACACTAACCCAAGGGGGTTGGTGCCAGGGTTCTAGGAATACCTTGAGTGGCCTGAATCCTGCGGTGGGAGGATTCACTCTTCTTCCCCTTCATGCCTGTAGCTGGAGGGCCTCTGAGCTGGGGAGGTGAGGAGGGGGGAAAAGTTTCTTCTCTGTAGGAGCCTTGTCTTGCCTCTGTGGACTGTGGGTGCCTTGTATGACCATTGATGCTTTCTCTGTCCCAGGCTCTGAGGAGTGGATTCATCCACTCCTGAACTGATGAGCCTCCCCAAGTGCACGGGGCACTAAGTTAAGACTGGCTGTTTGTAGGCACTGGACTTCCAAAGGGACAGGGAGGACTGGGACTTCACTGCTTCCTGGCAGCTTCTTTTGGGATCATTATCCCCCACCCCCATCCTGAAGCTGGGGGTGGTGTACAATCCTGCCTGTTTTGCGGAGTGCGATGGCTGCCAAGCATAGTTCTGCCTTTGGGTCAGGCTTGGCACCCATTTTTCCAACACACTCAAGGTTGGCATGGCTTCCAGGCAGGTATTTTTTTTTCACATAAAAATAAGTAAGCTTAAAGGAGGCTGGGGGATAGTTTTAAAATCAGGATCTGAAAGTCTCAAGGCTTTCCCAATGGGCACTGAGGAGCAGTTACAGTTTCTAAAATGCTGATGTGCTTCTGTTGCTTCTACACAGTCCTGGTGCTGTTTGAAGGACTGAGAAAGTCTGTAGAGTTTGCAGTCGAAGTCCTGAATTCCTGTCTTCTGACAGTCTTCCATGTAGGGCCAGGAAACTGAGGTAGTCTCTGAAAGGAAAGAGAGTGTACTGGCAGAAGGGATTATAGGACTTTAAATTTGCTGTTTATGGGGTTCTTCCCCATACTTCAACTTCCCATTCTCACAGCAGCCCTTTATAAGAACCCCTTAGAGCCACTGCTGTCATTACAGGTTGAGAAAATTGAGACTAAGAGAGGTTGATTCACTTGCCCAAGGCTGCACAGCCACAAAGTGACAAAACCAGGACTAGGAGCCCAGGCCTTAGCTTGTAAATCTGCAGCTCTCGTGTACCCAGAGGCCTTTCTTTCTGAGGAGGGGGTGAGCTGTCCTCGAAGGGTAGCAACAGGGTGATGGCTGCCACCTGTAACTTCTGCTGCTTTCCACCCCAGACTCCCCAGTTGTTTGGATCCTGACTGCCTGACTTCCTTGGCCTAAGCTCCCAGGGGGCCAGCCACGCCTGGCTGACCAGAGCCTGGGGTGGGAGGAATGGGGAGTGCAGGAGGGGAGAGGAATTTGCCTCTGTGCTCAGGCCCCATCAGCTGTCTGGCTGACTGCTCAGCACCCTGCCCTTCAGCTGTTTTCCTTAGTTAGGGTAGACACAAAGGCCAGGCTTCTTGTTTTTATTTTTCTTCCGAGTGCCCTCAGCTGTGAACCTCCTAGTCCCTGAAACAGGGAAGAGCTTATAGTCCATCCTGTGGCAAGCTTTGAGGGGACAAGAGTCTGTGCTGTGACTTTGTTTTTCAGTCTTAAAAAAATTGGGGAACTCTTCCTTCCCCATAGCTGCTAGCGACAGACTCTCCATGTGCTATTTAATAAGTTACAAATTTATAGCTCTTTGGGCAGAAAAACATAAACACAGCCTTTCCCTGTGTGTTCTCTCTGCTTTGTGCTTTGGGGTGGCTGCTGGTGGCTTTTCTCATTACTGTTTAGACGCTGGTTTGGCCGGGAGTTCGCCCTGTTCTCTGGCCGGAGTTTCCTGGACAGAGTTCCCACAGCACCGAGGTGCACTCTGATTACGTTTTCTGACCTGACTCCTTGCTCTCCCCTGGTTCCCATTCATAGTGTGCTTAGGGGGGAGGAGGGGGCTGTGACCACAGTTGTGGTAACCTAAGTTGATGGGAGACAGGCACCGAACTCAGCACTTTATGAGTTTCATCACAGCCATTCCGAGAGAGAGGTGTTTTATCTCTGCTTTACAGATGTGGAAACCTGAGCTCCGGGGAAAAGGTCACTGGGGGAGCTGGGATTGGAACCTAGACTGATCCGATTCTGGTCATTTTAATCATAATGAGGTAATAGTGACTGGTGACTGACCAGGGGGATGAGCCCTGGGGCCTGTTGGATGACTGCTAGTTACCTTTACAATTTCTGCCCTGGAGGCCGTCCCCAGGACATGGCCTCTATGGCAGAGGGTGGGTCTAGTTCAGGTCTTGATAGCTTTGCCTTCCCCCTCTCCCAGGGGGAGCAGCCAGCTGTTGGCAATGCCCAGTTGCCACTGGAATCTGGACATGTCTTTCAGCTTCTCAGCAGTCTTGACCCTCTGGAAAACAGTGCCTCATTGTCCTTGGAGGGGTACTGGGGGGTGGGGCAGGGGAGTTGCCTGGGGCATTTGGGGCTATGGAGCCTCCCTGTTTCCATGGAAAGTCTGGACTTTGGGCTTGCCTGTCTGTAGTGCCTCTCTGTGTTAGGCCAGGGTCAGGGCACCCAGCTGCTGGGCCTGTGGCAGAGGTACTCCTGGAGTGATGTGTGCTCCTCGTGGGCTCTGCATCAGTGCCAGAGCTGGGCCTGGGCTGTATGCTAGTGAGGGGCACGGCTGGGATTCAAACCCTGGTGTGTCTGATTCGTAGCAGGTGCCCTTTCTGCTGTGCTGTCTGTGGCCTGGGCACCTGTGGTTGGGCTTCTGGCGGCCGTAGCCCCACGACTATAGATTTGAGGTCTTCTGAGGGAACATCTCAGTCTTTCTGCCTTCCAGCCTCCCCAGTGTTCACCATGCATTGATGAGGCTGGGTGGGCCCTTAGCTAGAGGGGCCGATGGAAGGCCAGAGTTACTGCTGCTGTGCTGCGCACCCTCTTCCTCCATTGAGTCATCATGCATGGAGCATGTTAGCCCTCCAGAGATTCCCTTAGGCCTTTACCTGATTCCAAGGTCAGAGGTGTCGGAAGGACTTCCTCTCAGCTTCACTCTCATTCCAGCTCTCCCCTGGCTTGTTCTGAGCTCCTTGCCTCCATTAATGATAACAAACCCCTGCAGAACACTTCTCTTTTTTTTACAGTTTTTAAAAAATCCTCACTGGAGGATATTTTTCCATTGACTTTTTTTCAGATAGAGTGAGAGGGAGGGATGGGCATGGGAGGGGGGAGAGACAGTGACATCGATTGGTTGCCCCCGAATGACCCTGACCAGGGTGGGGGACTGAATCTGCAACCGAAGTATGTGCCCTTGACCGGGAATCAAACCTGAGACCCCTCAGTCCATGGGCCGATGCTCCAACCACTAAGTCAAAGTGGTTAGGGCTCTTTTTACAGTGTTCACAGAATTCTTTTCTATAATGTTTACTGAGCATTTACTATGTGCAAGCACTATGCTGGGCACCTTACATACATTGTTTTATTGAATCACATGGGCCACAAGAGGTGCAGATTCTATTGTTATTACTACTATCCATCTTATAGATTATGAAATAGACACAGAGAGGATGGCCCACTGCCAGGTGAGTGCCGGGGCTGGGATTAAACCCAGGCTTGGGATTTTAATGCAGAGTCGAGTTTATAACCATTCTTTACACTTCAGTTCATGGTACTGGATCTGATCATGGTTGCCTGCTGATCTGCTTGCTTTCCAGTCTCTGTTCAGTCTCCCACATCTGTCCTTTTCCTCTTCTCTGTGGCTTCTTCCTTCTCCTCCTTTGTTTGTTCTTGGGAACCCCGGATGTGACGCTGGGCCCCTGTAGCAGTGTCTCCTGCTCAGTGGAGGGCCCCACTTCTCTACCTGTCGCCAGTCCAGTCACCTGTTACCCTCAGGACAGAGCTGCGCGCTCACTGCAGAGATGTGCAGGAGAACCTGGGACTGTCCTCCAAGGAAGTTGTTGACAACTATTTCAGGTGGAGAACTGACCAAGTCCTGTGGGAAGAAGAGAGGGAGAGGAAGAATTAGGAAGCCGAGTTTTCCCAGAAATCTGGAGAAAGCAACTGAATGAAAGGGGCATCCAGGATCATCTCCTCACCTG